CCAATTCCTCACCACCCATGCACCAGCACAACCACGTCCCTCCCCCCGGGATCGGCCCTTCCTGCTTATATACCAGGCATGACGTGCCATGGGGTGGAATATCCCTTTGGCTAGTTCAGGTCACCTGTCCCGGCTGTGCTCCCTCCCAGTTTCTTGTGTACCTTCTCACTGGCAGAGCATGAGACACAAGACAGAAAATGTCCTTGTTTAGGATAAACACAACTTAGCAGAAGCCAAAACATTAGTGTGCTATCAACAGTATTATCACTCTGAATCCAAACACTGCACTACACTAGCTACTGAGAAAATTAACTCCATCCAGGCTAAAACCAGCACAGTTGCCAACACATTACTCTGTGCATTCAACAAATGATGAATACACTCCCTGACCCTCCTTTTGCTGCCAATGTATTCATAGAAACTTAGATCTATCCTAAATTATCTTCAGCTACTCCAAGTAATTTTAACCTGAACTTCTGCTACCACCCAATTGAATGGTATGATTTTTTTGCTCGTGCTAAAGAGCAAAAAACAATGAATACATACACTATTCACTTCATTCACCACACTAAAAATAACTTATTTCTCCTTCACTTGGAAGAACTATGATCACATCCAACTCATACAAATAAATTTGATACTTTACTGCTTAAAGATAAAGCTAGCCCACCTTCAAAAAATAAGCATTTTTTTCCTTATAATGGTGATTTTCTGATCATTGTTCAGGCTGTTTAGTTGTTTAAAAGTAGAAATCAAGTGCCATACAAAAGACTAGATTAGTCAGCCGACTATGATAACCATAACAATGATGTCATAAAAGGTACTGTTAGGTCTGCAGGAATTTATGTAGTCACTAGTGAAAAGATTAAAGCTTTAACACTGTCTGTTCTGTTCTCCTACTCTCACTCTCCCTAAGACACGAATATTTTTTTAAATGCCTAGAGGACCAATATTACTTTCCTTCTCCAAAACTTAAGTTTTCTTGCTTTCAAGTTAGTACAAAAGTACTTTTGTGAAAAAATTATTTTTGGAGTGAACTTTCTAAACAGACAGGCACTTACATATACCTATTTGCAGTCCAATTTGGTCTTATCTGCATGGACATTCCTAGTATTCTACTCAAGGTAAACATTAAGGAGATTAGGGCACAACTGTGCAGGGTGTTACACAGCAGCTGTTTACAGTGAATGGGGTACAGTATATGGTTACATGCAAGTAAGCCTGAGCTGCTCTCACACAATTTTAAAATGGTGCAGCTCTACAAACCAAAACAGTCAACTTTGCTAAAGATTCAGCATTTTTTAATCAGCTTTTTTATCAGTGAACGTTTCCCACTACAATAGCTGTTGGGAATGTTCTAGAACTTCAGACCTAAGTATCAATATAACTGACCTGTTACAAGGACAGACACAGAGCCCACAACATTTGTTGAGCTCTGTCAGTGTCTTCTCAGCTTCTCTCATATCCTTATTTATTTGGTCCATGCCTTCTTCTATGCGATTTAGTTGTTCTAGAAGAGAAAAAAGTAGCCTGAATAAACACAGACTGGGGGAAGATGGGGCTGGGGAATATTAACATTTCTTCCAAGCAGCAATGTACAAGTTTCAGTTCTATCTTTATACCAAGACTAAAGTCTTTTTTTCTCTCCTGCCTTGTAGGATTGATTTCATTCTTTAAGAAAGATATTAAGTGATAAGTTTTGTTCACTACTTTAAAAGTAAAGTATTTTCCCTATCCTTAGAGCAGCACTTCTGTTGCTGCTTTTAGAATACAGACACTTAGATTCATGTGATGGTGCAAAGAAGCAGCTTCTGTAGCAGAGCTATATTACACTGTAATTAACATTACCTCTTAACAATAATAAAACCTCTTTTAAATACTGCAAACACGGGGAAAAAACAACTAGCAAATCTCATTTTCACACAAGCAGTCTTTAATAAGCCTTTAGTTCCAGCAAGAACTCTTCAATGATAATCCTTTTCTTACAGTTATAATATTGATCTTTAGTGCCAGAGAGGAAGAAGGAAGAACTTACCTCCCTGTTCATCCAGCATGGTAATAGTTTTGATCCCAACATCCTGGGACTGTAGAAAGAAATTTAATTGTAGATATAAAACCATTATTTCAGTACAGCAGTGCAAGATCAGGAGATCTCAATAGTAAATCTGATAATCCAACCAAGTTTATAATAAAACACAGTGCTAGAAATAACTTCTGTAGTAAAGCTATTCTAAGTTTCAAATTAGATCCTATGTTAGGCTGGTAGTTATCTCACCTGTTACAGTACCTCAGTTAATGCAGGGTTTTGTCAAGGTGCATTTTTTAACATTGCAAAAAGATCATAAAATTTATTGTAATATGCAAATTGAACTATGACAATGTCAAGGTTAGAAAAGCAAACCTAGCTGTGCCTTGTTTTGAGAAGTGGCATTTGGGTCATTCTTTATTCCTACACCCTTCAATAGGGCTGACAAGACCTTTAGTCCTGGAAGCCAGAATAAAAGAAAGCAAAATAAAGCCTGCAAAACCATTCATGAGGCTTCAGCAGAAGAGATCAGGCCTGCCACCCGTTCTACAACCAAGCAAAATAAATCAGCAGTGGGGAATATACTACAGTACTGCTCTTTGCTGGCTCAGTCTTGAAGCTAGCATGCAAGTTCTACCCATGCTCTACTGTAAACTGGCAGTACAGAATCAATCTCCAATCCATGATACCAAGAGAAATTATGCTGGCTTATTTCATGTACTTCACATTTGTGTGTGAGAGGTATTCATTAGGCTATGCTGATACAAATTCCTCACTGGTAACAGTAGCATCTTCAGCAAGCAGGTGGAGGAATAGACTCCTCATGCAACTTCACTCAGATAAACCCAAAATACAGATTCATTTAAAGTCATGTACAAGGGTGTTAAGAGTTTTATCATCAGACTTAACTATCTTTAAAGTTAAAATTGATGAACAGATTGTAAGAAGATAAATGTAGAATTACTTCTGTTTACAACCAAAAGCAGCCCTACTCTCTACACCTTCCCCATTAAACTGAGCCCTACTGTGTACAAAGCAAGATATTTTCACTGTTCACAGGCAAAGTGAGCTAAAAAGACAAATGAAAGATGTTTTGAGAAGAAAGCAATGCAGCAGCCAAAGTCATAACTGACCACCACAGCAGACTTTATAACTGATCTGCAGCGTTTGGGTCACTTTGCTTAAGAGCACAACAGGTGAAAAGTATCCTTCTGTGATCTGACTTTACATAGTGTGAAAATCATGAACTTTGTAATTCCAACTCTACTATCAAATTAAAGCAGCAGCTTCTAATGATGAAATGTGTGCCCTGAGAAAGACAAAAACTTGACAGTTAACAAGTGGCAGTTTTGTGACAGTTAACATGTTGCTTCTTATACTTAGTAATTCCACAGAGAATTCAAAAGCTTTTCCTTACCTCAATGGCCAAGCCAAGAATCCTCCTTGTGCTTTCCAAAGACTAGAAAGAGAATTTTAAAATGAATGCATTAATAGTATGTATATATCAGTGTCTAAAAGTCTTCTTTACCAGTTCATTGTAGTAAGGCAACTAGTACATAAAAGTTCATCACCCTGTCTATATTTAATACACACTCCAACACAGTCATACTGGCAGCACGCTATTTTTTTCCTTGGTTTTCAGTGCTAATACTTTGCTTATCCCATTGGAAATTCATTCTAAAAGAAGGTATATTCAAATGAATTTTAGTTAAATAAGAAAGCAATGAAGTATCACAATTAACAATACTGTAGGTACTTAGCCTGCATTGTCTCAGTGATCAGGATGGGTGATGAGTACTCAGTCAGGTAAGTGACTTTACAATTGAGAAGTTTCAATTCATTCTTCTTTTTAGGAGTAGTCTTCACACCAGCATTCAACAAGTAAAGTGAAAATTCAAACCATTCAGCTATACCTTTGCAGAATCATTGCCCTGGACTGTCTTTCTTTTATCAAGATACTCTACTCTTGGCAGAAAAGTATTGTAATCCCAATGTCTTCCTGTAATATTTACCTCATCGGTGACCTGGTTGGCCCTCAGCTGAATTTCTTCAGGTGATAGTTCAGACATGATGAGGAAATATTACTCCTAAGTAATCACTTTAAAAAGAATCTTCCTCCTGTAATGAGAGATACCAGCTAAGCATCAGAATATTCCTTTTATCAGTATTTTGAGTTGAAACTAGAAGAGTTCGAAGAATGAAAGGTTTATACATTGCATAGTACAACACCTGGTTAGGACTAGAAGACAACAAAATAATTATTCAGCTGATAGGACCTAACTGAGAAACTAAGAGAAATACAGGAACAAATCAGTATATGAAATAGTTTCCTTTTGAAGGCTTTGCTTCCTAAACATTTTTTTGAAAACTCTATTGTTACTTTAAACCAAAAAATCAGGAAATGAGATCTTAAAATAACAAGCTGCTCCATGTTGGAAAAGCACATTGGTTTGCCCAGTAAACCAGAAATAAATTAATTTAGACATTTAATTTACTAGCATAAGCTTTCAGCATTCTTTCCATTCCCACTCTGGGATTTCAACAGAAGAGGAAACATTTTCACAAATGAAAATGTCTAGACTGTCAAGTTTTAAACAAGAAACTAATGTGCCTAAATACAAAGCAGAGACGTGATGTCAGTTGTATTTACTTTTCGTTATCGAAGTATTCTGCAGTATTTACTTAGTTACCAAACAACAAGGCTTAAGCACATTTCAGTACAACTCACCCTCTGCCCCTTCCACAGGAAGGCCTGGCACCTACAGACTATGCAAAAACTGAACTTGCTACAAAAACATGTTTTCTTGAAGTAATGGGTCTTGTGAAACTTTTCTACCATGAAATTTAGATTACAACACATTCACTATCTTAACTATCAGAGTCTTATAAAAACAAAGAATCATTGAGGAAAAAAAGCAGCAAGGAAATAAACACACAGCTTCCAAATCATAAAAATATGGGGGGGTTTCTGCCATGTTTTAATTTAGAGATTGTGGGGGGCAGAAAACATTCTTTGAAATTCCAATTCCAACAACAAACTTTAGATAAGATGTTATGTCTTCACAAGACTCATGTTGGGCTAAGCCATCCTCTAATCTACCACTTTAATGCATATTACAAGGACACTATTACTGCTCAAGCCATTTGAGAATGGATTAGGCTTACATTACTTCTATCTCTTGGACAAGAGGAACAACGAGGAAATAAATTTATACCTGCATAGACTTTTTTCTACTTACTACGCATTTAGTCATAGCTGCAAAAACCCTGAAAAACTTTCAATTCACTCTCCTATGTGAAGCTGTTGGGTTTGAGAAGACTGAAGAAAAGACAGAGCAAAAGTGATTTTACAGAACTGTTTAAAACCTCAGGGTATTTCCTGCAAAAGAATGCAGGACATGACAAGCACTTTGGGGCTCATTTTAGCATGATGACAGACACATTCAAAGCATCACTGGCTTAGAGATCTTAATTCAGTTAGTCAGCACACCCATATAGAAGCCAAAGCATTTTAGTAGGTTCTTTGTCTAGCTTCAAAAAACTGGAAGGTGACCCAGACTGATGTGACCTGTGTCTGTAATAATGTCTGTATTAGCCGTAGGGTGATCCTGTGGCAGTACAGCTTGGGAAGAGCACTGCTCACATTAACACATTTCAGGTGGATCAGTCACAAGTGCTGAATCAGTTCTGTCCCAAATTCAACTACTGAATTGAGAGCTAATATCTGCCAGGCCATAACTTTCTTAAGATTGAGTGCAATAGCAGCAAATAAAGTGTTAGTTATATCCACAGTGACCTACTGTCTACACATACATATCTCCAAGTTTAAAAACATCTGCTTGGAATCAGAAAGACAAGAGAATCGTTTCATCCAAGAGCAGCTCACTGGCTGGGTTTCCTGGCAATAGGCACATTAAAAACTTTTGAGGAAAAAAATAAAGCATTTGAACGGACACACATTCAAGAACAAAGTACCATTTTATGCAGCCAGTAACAATGCAGTCATCTTTGCCACTCACTTTCCCAGACCTCACAGTAAAAAAATAACATGAGATCACTTTTCTTGTCATTGGTCTAAGACACTCCTCCCCACCACTAAGTTTTTCTTACGAGTGTTTTCATTCAGAATTACTTGCAAACTGCAAACCAGCTTTTTATGCCAACACACTCAGCTTCCAATGTAAACAACTTTCAAAAGTCATTACAACAATGAAGTCCCACAGTGTTTTCAAGGGTTTTTCAATTCCAATCATCTTCTGAAGCTTCCAAGACACTTCCAAGGTAATGGAAGCTATAGTAGGCAAATTACATGCTGTTTGAATATGCTTTTCTTCAGCACTAGCTGAGAAGCAATTCTAATGGTTATTAGTGCTAGGAAAAAAGAAAACTTACTTCCTTGCTTTAGGACAGTCATGGCACATTCAGGCTGTGAAATCCAAAGCACTCAAAACCCTTACTGAGCTTTATGAATTTAAATTAACTGCAGGGCACCACAAGGCCTAATAAAGTGCTTGTTCTATTCCAATTACACAGTCCACACCTGTTCAGGGAGAGGTTGTCCTAAGTGACAAATTTTCTTAAATCAGAGAGGTCTCCTTGCACCAGACCAGTAAGCTGTTCTGATTGCTTCCACTTTTACAAACCCACATTGAATAACAGAATTTTTGCACTGCATCTCTGGCTGACAAGCTGCAGTTTTGTGCCTCTGACAGGCTGAATACCTTTCAGAAATTTGTCATATATCCATCATGTTTGCTACATATCACAAACTAATTCCTTAAGCACGGTCTGAAGGTCCTCTATTTGAACCTAGCCCTTTTGCCATGAAGTTATGCTTCTAATCAGTACCATAAACTTTTCATCCTTCTTCACCAGTAACTCTAAACTAGTAGCTAAGCACAAATGTTTGGGTTTCTTTTGATTAAAGATATTTTTGTAACATCAATAACACACAGCAGACTGTCCCTTGGTTCCAGAAATGGAGAATAAGACATGCAAAATTTTCTTGTGAGTAGGAAGTAAAGAGAGAGAAGAAGAAACCATTATAATACTTTTGTCCATGTTCTCACAATAGTTGTGATAACTCACAGTTGGTATAAGATTATCTCCTAAATGCCAAAACCATAAGGTTTATTAAGTTTGCCTTCTAAAATAATTTATTTCTCCCTCTCTCTCAAAAGAGCTACTTCCAAGTTGTGAATGAAAACCACATAGCTCCTACAAAGTTTTCTAGCCAGACTACATGCTTACACCTCCACGTTGCTCTCCTCTTCAAAATCTACTGAAGGTTTTCGGCAGTTAAAAACTAAATGTAACAGTGTTGAGTGGAAAACTTTCATACATGCATGTCCAAGTTACTCATTTTCATAGAGCCATGATATGAAAGAACCCTACCCTTTCTATTTCAAATAAGCCATACTTGACTACCTCTTCATTTCAGATAAGACAGAAAGTAATACTTGTACTTTACCCTTTTAACATAATCCACTAGTAGGAATACCAAAAATCCTGCAATTCCCAGTTCTCTCGCTCTTTCCTTGTGTGTTTCACATGTTTTCATGGGGAAAATAATAGCTACTATCTAAATACATCTAAAAGTATGATTGAGAAATGCATCCTATGCCTTCTTACTACAAAGATACACACAAGGTGATGACACAACCCTGCTGTTGCAGCAACTGAGTGCAGCCAGCATCTCATGAGCTATATTTTTAGCCAGTAGTGAACTGGTACAGCCTCAGGTGATCATGGATGCTCTCTGTTCCTTCTCTTGTAAAGCAAGCTGTTCCCTTCCCCAAGAGATGGAAAAATTCATGAAACAATATTCTTAGAAACATAAATATTAATTATGAACTTTCTGCGCATGCTTGCAAAGGTACAAATTACACAGTTTACAAATCAGATAGTTTTGTGTTCAGGGTTGGAGTTTTCTTGTTCTTGGAAATTCTTATTATTAATGCAGTTGATTTTATAAAACCGTTCCTTAACACAGATAATGTAGGGTGGCACAAAGTATCAGCACCAGAATGTACTCTTCCACGTGATCATGCTTACAAGATAAACGAATAAAGCATCTGTGACCCTGGGGGAAGAGGCCAGAGCCAAAGAACAAGACAATACTCTGCATGTTTCCTGCTTTCTCTTATCAGCTTCCTGAACACACTGCAGAAAGAACACAGCACAAAGAACAGGCACTAGCAATGCCACCTCTTCTATGCAGTTCTATATCATCTCAACAACTCATTTTTGCTCCTGCAAAAGCCTCATGAAGTCTCCTCCAAATCAGATACTGGCCAACAGAAATTTACAGTCAAACTTTGATCCACATACAGGGAGTAACAGATTCCATTTCTTCTAATTACCCAAACTATGCTATATAATAACATACTTCAAGAAATGCAGAGCAGAGGAGGCCAGGCGTAATAGATTGGTTACTACACTGTCAGTAAGCAATTAATTGCTAAATTCAATCAAACAAGCAATTGACATCATAGAAGGCTTTCCCTTTGCCCCTAAACACCTTCCTACATAGCTGTTCTCTCTACAGCAGAATCAGATTTGTTTATGGAGATATAAAGCAACATTGAGCACCTATTGCCCTTTTTAGGCGTGAAAAAGAGGAAAGTAAATAGCTAGAGAAGTTGCAGAATGAAATTTCCAGTTTCTTTAGGTCATTTGCTTAGGTTATCAAATCATGTGGTGATTTCATAACTTTTGTTTTGTAAAACGGAAATGAAAGTGAAAAAATAAAATTGAAGGTGAAAAATAAAGTTGACTCTTCTTCAAGTACAAAAGCACAGACTGCATTTGATACTTATCGTTTAACACATACCACGACAGCATCTTACTGATCAGTCTCGTATCAGCAGGACACAAAGCAGGTTTAGGAAGGCACAGCAAGAGACGAGTTTTCTCCTGTATCCCGCTAAGAACTCGATTCACGGGCTCTCACCAAGCAAGTAACAAACCGCCCGGACACGGCACTGACAGCCCGGGCAGGGCAGTGCCCGCCAGGCCTCCCCGCACTCGAGGGGGCGAGCACAGCCCACGGCCCAGCCGGGGGCTCG